CTCAGCCGAAGTCTTCGGGTTTTAGGCCTAGACTCAGCCGAAGTCTTCGAATTTAAGCCCTAGACTAAAGCGAAACGAAGCCTTCTATAAACTTCAGGCTGCTTTGGGCCGATTCGGTTGAAACCAAGACATGCCTTTTTTTAAAGGGTGCAGTTGGCATACAGATGCATCCGTAGTTGTAGAGGTAAGGTGCGCTTTCAAATTTTATCATGGTATATAATTTTGATGTAAATTGTTTTTAAGATTATCTCAAAATCTATTTTTATATCTAATTATAAAATTTTAAATTTAAAAAATGGTTAAAATCAAGTAGATATATAAACATATGAAAATCTTGAAAATGGACGGTGTAGATAATATGTTGTAAAATGCACTATTTCGGAGACTTAAAATCTTTTTATTTTTCGTGGTCATACATCTCGATGTTGAGATGATCAACCAAAGGGTTTTTTAACATTAAAACTACATTTTCCGATGAATTTTTGATGTGCATCTGTAGCTCTACATTATAAGGTTGCACCTTTTTTAAATTAACAATAACAAAAGAGAGGAGAACTATATAGAGAGAGAAACCTTCTAAAACAAGATATTACAATACTAAACAAAAGTCATATTTGCAAGCTGGTCAGTGGCAGCAGCAGCGAAAATAGTGACTGAGAACCAACTCTATTCAACAAAACCCCATGAGTGCAAATTCTCAGCCACTGATTCTAAAGCCAAAACCTTAAAGCCCACGGCTGTCCACAGTTTCCCCCAAGTCCACCACAATGCCATTTTGCCCCCATCCCACCCAAAATTTCCTGATTTCTCAGGTATGTCAGGCTTCATAAATGGCCAAACCTCATGCAATTTCAGTATTTTTCCATGGGACTTTTCAAGAATTCCGAGATCAGCGAGAATACAAGAAAGGGTACTTTAATCCCTCGATTGTGTTTGCAAATATCCACAAAGATGGGGGACATTTTTGGCAATCAAAGGGAGGAATTTGTTGAACATTAATTTGTCTTTTAGTGACTATGCTCATTCTTTCTCTCTAGAAGCTTCATAAGTGGCAGTTTAACTAAACCTATGGGGTGCTTGGTGAAAAGAGGTGTATAATGTGAATGGGTGCTTGGTGAAAAGAGGTGTACAATGTGATGCAGTGCTTGGTGAAAAGAGATGTACAATGTGAAGGTGTGCTTAGTAAAAAAAGGTGTACAATATGATGGGCCATGTGACCTTTCGTAGACCATATGTACAGGCGGTTAATTGAGTTTATAAATAGTAAGACATTATTGTGAGGTAATTTATGTGTTGAGATAGAAAGGGTGAGTTAGGCATAAGTGAGATTGTGGTTGCTCTATTGTACTACTGCCTTGTGTTCTATTCTAAAGCAATAGTGAAAGTGTCGATTGATTCAATCCAAGCTTCTTATATATGTTTTGAGTCGAAACTCTTTTATTTTCTTTTGAATTCTTTTTTGTTGCAACTAATATCTATCTGAATTGGGGTTATGATTAGGGTTTGGGAGTTCTGGGATTGGATTGGGTTCGGAGGAGACTGAGAGGGATAAGGAGAAGGAGCTTTGGAGTGAAGGTTTATCTCTTCTTCAAGAGTGAGCCATAGAGAGCTAGACATAGAGTGGCAAAATAGATCAAATTCTTGGCTTCGGGCTTTTTGCCGTCTTTGATGTTTATACATAGAATATGAGAGCACCTGCAAAATGTCCCCGGCTATATATAAAAGTACTTTTTATTTTTTGAAATTCTCATTTTTAATTTTTATTATTTTAATATATATATATATATAAACCCGAAGCCTGAATTGGCTGAAGTATCGAATTGTTTCGTTTATCTGAGTAAACCGAAGAAAATATGACAATATTGATGTCAAATACAAGTGGAAAAGAAACACAATAGATAAATAAAACATGAGAAATGAAGCCCTAACTCTTTTATGAACCTACATGAAACTCAATAAATATATTCCACTTCTTTCTTTTGATCCACTTTTCTAGAAAATATCCTCTTTTTTCCCTTTCAACCGCGTATTCCCTGCTTGTGTATTCATTTTGATCATATTGACCTCGATATGTGTATACATGAAAAAAAAATGGATTTCAAGTTTGTAAAAAAGCGCATCTTATAATGAACTATTTGGGCCGTCAATTTCAGTATTTTATAGTGTTTCTGCTTGATCCATACTATTTATGAAGCTTCAAATTTTATAATTAGAGATGAACATAAAATTTCAAGCAACCATAAAAATTTTTGCTACTGAAAAATCATCTTCTAATACTATTTCGGGGTATGCATTACTTTGTTTAGAGCTAAGTAATGACCCTATCTGTTTTTATAAGCGACACCGAAAATCTATACAAAACAAAATACCTAATATACGCCCTAAACAATCCCAAAAAGAAAAGAAAAGGAAAGAAAAAAAGTCATTCCTTAGTTCACAGAACTAAAATCCAAGTCCATCCATCTTGTTCCAGCATCAGCTTGATTACCAAAAATGAACCAATTTTATTTATTTTTTACCCTTTAAGAATTCATAACTTTAAATATAAAGTTTTATGCTAATGAGGCCAAATTGAAAGCTCCATTTCAAGGATTGAAAATTATTTTGGTAAAATATGGATTTATTGAGCATGTTTAGAGAAACTAATGAGGAGGCCGATAGACTTACTAAGGAGAGTTATGCCTTTGATGCTCTCATTTCATGGCATCACTTTAGATTTCCTTTCTTTCTTTGTTTGATTGTAGTGTTTCCTGATTTAATAAACTGATTAATAACATCTATCTAAAAGAAAAAAAGATTTATGCTTTCAAAGTAGCTCATGACTAAATTTACAAGGGAAAATATCTCTTTATCTCTTATTTTAACTTCCATACCTCATGAGACCTAAAAATTGAAAATATTACTTGTAAGCAAAAGGTCTCCATCATTTCTATCTTACAACCCCTTGGACCTCTTGACCATAAATTTTTGACCCAAACAAACACTAAAATAAACCCTATTCAAACTCCATCTCAATCTCTCTAAAACTCTATCTCTTTCTTCACTTCTCGGTGAGTTTACGAGCCAAAGGGTTTAGCTTGAGCTTGAAAACGAGCACACCTTATGTGTGAGAGAGAGATAGAGTTTTAAAAAGAGAAATAGATGGAGTTTAGGTTTTAGAGAGAGATGGAGTTTTAGAGAGAGTGATAGAGTTTTAGAGAGAGAGATGGAGTTTGAGTTTTAGGGAGAGAGATGGAGCATTGAGAGAGAGAGATACGATGATGTGAGAAAGAGCGATGAAGTTTGGGTTTTAGAGAGAGATGATGATGTGTGAGAGAGATGGAGTTTTAGAGAGAGAGATAGAGTCATTTAATAAGTTGTTGAGGTCAATAATACATGGTCAAAAGGGTTTAGGGGGTTGGAAAATATAAAAGATGGAGTCCTTGTGCTTACAAGTAATATTTTCAATTTTTGGGTCTGATGAGATATATAAGTTAAAAATATGCGATAATAGAATATTTTTCGAAATTACAAATTCTTAATTTTCTTTTTAAATTAGTCAATTTGATTTTCGTTTAACATTTTAATGATTTTCTTTTAGTTTTAGAATACAAAATATTTTACTTTTAAATACTTTTAAATTTCATTCTCGACTCCTTTGGCTGTTATAAAATGTGTATCATCCTTTAAAAATAATTTATAATAAATTTTACAGTTTCTGACAACAAATATCAAATTTTCTTTGCTTTAATGATAACACTGCCTCCAAACAGCTTTGTTTGTACTTTTAAGTATTTCGTTAATCTTTATATCTCCCATTGCATGTCCATGTACAACGCACGTAAGTCCACTACTTAAAAGGCAGCAAATGGCCCCAGTTTTTCAGACCACTGCCGCTATTAGCTTATATTATTTTATAAGATATTTTTCCTTATTCATAAAGCACAGAGAAGTTGGTGGCCAAAACGATTTACCGACCAAGCAAATCCATCAGTCTTTTTTTGACAAGATTTTTATTTTTTTGATTTTTAACAAGAAGCAAATCCATCAGTATCACTTTCTTGGGCAGTGCCTGGTTCTCAATAGGAGAAGTTGGTGAGCAAAACGATTGGCAAACCCCAGCAATCCATCAGTCTCCCTTTCTGAGACAGTGCCTAGAAGGTCTCGGAAATCATGGTGTTTCTAAGCAGAGAAGGCAAAGCGATACGTCTTAGGCCCAGCTAAAAATTCGAAGACAATCTTGTAAGTCTCATTTCATGCTCAAATGGAGCTCAATCTCTCTGGCTCAAATGACCAGCCAAGACATGTAATTTTACGCAACCATACGATTATTGCAAACAATAGGACAAGCAATGAGACTATGAATCTGGTGAAAATTGTCTATAGGTGCTTGAAAAATATGGTCCTTTGAGCAGGGAACATCCAAGCCTTCGACGGTCAAAATCTATTTTCTTTGAACATAATCATGTGGTGAAAATTTTTGAGCCCGAGGTCTAATAAAGAACCTACACAGCAAAGGAATGTTATTGAGAAAAATGGCTGGAATACCTTCTTCATTCCTAAGGAATGTTTAATGGAGAGGCAATATTAACATCTCAGGTCTCAACTTTTCCATCACAAAAGATGATGCTTCAGGTCACCAACTAGAGAACTCTTTTCTTAAAATACAATTAGAAATGATTTCTAACATTCAACTTTCATGAACTTTAAGTTGTGAGACTAATTACCTCAGGAAAATTATATGCAAGCAAACCAAAAAACCAAAACAAATTTTATTCATAAACCTCACATTATAAGAAATAACTTTTATGAATCAGGTTCTAACCCATTGCCTAAATTTGCACCGCAGGTTGTGGATTTAACTCGTGAATTAAAAGAAGGGAACTCCACTTCTACATGTCTTTACTGCTGATGAAAAACAAAGAAGCAAAGATTCATATCCTTCAATGGTATCAAAATTTGGATAGATGAAAAAATAAGATTAAGAACATGTATATTGCCACTTAAATAAGAGTCTTCCATTTACCCAAAAAAAACAAAGAAAAAAAGTTTCCATCAAGAAATATCCAGTAAACAACATAGTAATGTAAGGAATATCCAGTAATGCAAGTTTGTGATATACTAACAAGTCTAGCTAAATATGATCTTAGCCTCAGAAGAAGCTTTAGGAAACGAATTCAACCGCTCCGCAACCTTTGATTTCTCCTCTTGATTCTGAAGACACCCGATATTGATAAAAAGCTCATCCAATACACCCGCATTCAACAGAAAAAACTCAATTATGTCAAGAGTTTCATCACAGTGGGTAGCCAGGACTAGCTTTAATTTTTTGAGTTGAGCCAAGCAAGACATAGCATCAGAATTCAACGTCTCCAAGTTAGTCTTAGTCAATTTGCCCTCAGGTTGTAGCTCCTCCTCATAATCCTTTGAAAGAGAAAAGAAGAAACAAGAAATCCGAAACAAAAGGCGACAAGGTCAAAACAGGAAAGCAGTGATGAATGTGTCTAGACAACATAGGGAAAAGAAACCAAAAGAAGAAAGCATGCCACATATTATGAGAATCATGTTCACCTTAAGGCAAAGGGCATTTAGATTTGGGAACTTCTTCAACAGACAAACCAGGCCCATGATCTCTGATACTTCCATACAATTTAGATGTATCTCGAATTCTTGCAGAAAATTATAAATTGTAGGTAGCCCACCATTCCCTCCATCAGCTGACTTCTCATAAAAGCTCTGCAAGTAACAAACCACGATGATGTGAAAAAGACTCCACATTAATTCCTAAGTTATACCACTTTCAATAAAATAACCACAAATAGAAAACTACCACAACTATCATATGAATCATCTTGTTCAGAGCCAAAAGAAAACTAGTAGGAAACATCAAAATAGTGCTTTTGGTACTATATTCAATGTGTGAAAGCCATTTTTCCTCTAATCCACCAAAATAATTGCTAGTGTTTTTTACTTTCAGAAAAGGACGACTTCACTAACTGGTTCAAACATCTTTTGCTCTGATCTGAGTGTGTTTCTTTTTGGCAAGGCCATTTAGAGAATTGATTATTTCCTTAGTCTTGCCATGTAGTGGAATATTTCTTAAGTTTTTCCATGAGCTTTTAATTGTCAATATATTCAACAAAATAAGCAATCTGCTAAACAAGTTGCTTTCATGGGTGTGCCTGAAACATGAGGTGGGGATGACAATGTACATAGAAATTCAAAATGCATGTCAAATGTAGATTTCCTAATTACTTTTGATCTCATTTTCTAAAAAAGCAAAATAGATTAATGTCTTCAATTTTTTAATCATTAGCATAATTTTGAATGCAAATTTCCCACCGCATGTTTATTATGTGCCCCAGTAAAGGCAACCGGTTCAACTGGTTTCTTACCAGATGACTCCTAATTCATCATCAATTCAACCAATTAACAGAACCTGCTAAACAAGTTTCCTTTATGGGCGTGCCAAGAACATGAGGAGACTATGGCCTGTGCAAATCAATCAATCATGTAACTGTAATTTTTCACATGGGTGTCATGAATAAAAATTTCATAGATGTTTCGTATCACATGTTTACTATGAACTACCAAAGAGCAATTCGTAAAGTGATATCTCAGCTGATAACATTTAATTTGCAATATCTTCAACCAATTAGGTGAACTTGCTGAACAAGTTGTCCTGATAGGCACCCAAAATATGAAGAAGGGATAGCAATGAGCAAAAAGAAAAATCATAAAGCATGCTAAATTAATTGATTTTAATTACTTTTTTTGTTTTCATTATATGAAAAAGAAAATATATCTTTTTCTGATGTAGGCTTCATGGAAAAATGTTTTATAAAAAATTCTCACCTCATGTCTATTGTATGCCACCGAAAGGGAACATGTTTAATCGATATCTTAGACGGTAACTTTCAATGTGCGAGTCTTTTCAAAAAATTAAATGAAACAGCTGAACGGATGCCTTCATGGGTGTGCATGAGGCATGAGGGGATGACAATGTGCATAAAAATTCAACATCCATGTCAAATCATGTTGTCTGAATTATTTATTGTTCTCATCTTTCAAAAAATACAACAGATTGTAATTTTGTGTAGGTGGCAATATAGGTTTTAAATGGAAAATTATACATAAGAGACTATTTACTTTTTGATATATGTTTCCTGCCTGCATGTTTATTATGAGCCCCTAAAAGGCAACCAGTTAAACTGATTCCTTAGCAAGTAATTGATAATTCACAATCTGTTCAACCAATTAATGGAACACAGGTATAGCAATGTGGAGAAAATTCAAAATGCATGTCAAAACAAGTAGTCGCAAGAACTGTTTTATTTATTTATTATTTATTATTTTATTTTTATTTTAAGAAATGAAAGTAGTATTTTCATGTAGTTTCTTGAAAAGATTTTTATTTATGTTATGCAGCATTTGTTTACTGTGCCACCTAAAAATGGAACTTGTAGAACAGATTTCTCAGCTAGCAACTTAATTTTCAATTTGTTCAAGCAATTAGGTGAACCTGCTAAACAGGTTGCTTTATTGAGTGTGCATGACATAGCAACATGCATTAAAATTCAAAATGCATGTCAAATAAAGTGGTTCTAAGGACTTTTTGTGTCTCATTTTCTGAAAAGAAAACATATTTTTTTACAATAAATTTTTTAATACAATTTCCCCACTGCATGGTTATTATATGCCTCAAAACGCATCGTATTACGTCGATTTCTTACACCGTAACATTTACTTCGCAACTTGTTTAGCAAATCAATCAACTGTGTAAGCAGGTTGCCTTCATGGATGCACTGAAAAATGAGGTGCTGATGGCAATGTACATGTTGCGGCTAAACTATGGAGGTATAGCAAATTAGTGAGAGAAAACAACCACAAAGAGAATCTAGAGAGAGAAATTGGGTTGAAGCCAAGCTCTACCGAAAATTACAAGCAGAAAGTTGTATAATCTGAGTTCAAAATGGCACACCCTAGCCCTTTTATGATATTTGTCTTTCAAGTTTTTAGTACATATTAAAAGCTAACCCATTCCTATTGCACAATCCAGCAATTTCCTAAGCATATTCCAACTCCCAAATCACGGAAACTACTGATGTTTGAGTAGTTCACTCCATAGTTGTCTGTTGAGTTGTTCAATCCGTATATGCCAAGACCACCTCTCCCCCTTTTTGCCACCATGGAAAAGGATGAGTAAAGGGAGACAACACCCTGCCCAAGCCTGAACTCAGGTTTTAATACCAAATGATGCGGTTAAACTCTGGAGGTATAACAACTTAGTGAGAGAAAAAAACCCCAGACAGAATGTCGAGAGAGAATATGGGTGGGAGCCAAGCTCTACTAAGAACTACCAGCAAACTGCTGTATTTTTTAAAAAAATCACATAATCTAAGTTCAAAATGACACACTGACCCTTTTATGCTACTTCTCTTTCAATCCTCCAATATATATTAGAAGCTAATCTATTCCCATTCCACAATCCAACAAGTTCCCAAGCATACTCCAACTCCAAAATCTTGGAAACTCCTCACATTTGACTCTCTCTTACCCCCTTCAAGACTTCGGAAGCTCACTATTACACCATTCTAAGCTCATAGAAACTAGCAGCCCATGCTGGATTTGTGGATCCCATATGGGCCCTACGTCACCAAAGTTTTTTTGTACTCAATTATCAAAGATAAAACAAATTGTAATTTTATGCTGGGTCATGAATATGATTTTTAATACATACTCCCTACCACATATTTGTTATGAGCCCGCCCCCCAAAGGCAACTGGTTCATTAAACCAGTTTCTGTGCAAGGAACTGTTTAATCAAATAATTCAACCTGTTAAACGAGTTTCCTAAATGGTTGTGACCGAAAATGAGGATGGGATGACAATGTGCAAATAAAAATCTAAGTGCACATCAAACTAAGTAGTCTTAAAGTCATTTTTTAGAAAGAAACAAATATTATTTTGACATGGGCAATGTGAATAAAAACTTCATACATGTTCCCCCTCCACATGTTTAATGTGCTCCGACAAAATGTAACATGTTAGCTGGCAACTCTTAATTCGCAATTTGTTGAACTTGGTAAATGTCACGATCCAAGGTGGTTTAATGCCTGAACTTTCAGTGTTTTCATCACCCAAAGGTTTTGGGACATATTGGTTAGGTACCTAATATTTGGTATTAGAGCAATCATTGCGACCCGTTCAAATCCTAGAAAAGGGCTACTTATGGAAGCTACTTGACAAAATAAAATCAAAGCGAGAGCCACCATGAGATGAGAGCCGTCGAGAATGTCAGTTGCGAGGCGTCGTGGTATGTTACGATCTTAGGTAGTTTAAAAGCCTAACTTTCCATGTTTCCATCACCCTAGGGATTTGGGCTGTATTGGTTTAGTACCTAACAGTAAATACGTTTATGTAATAGATCTGGAAAATGAGGGGTTGGCAATAAGCTAAATATTAAAAAAACATACCAAATCAAATTTTTCATGCACTTTATTCTTCTATTTCTAAACAAAAAGCAGATGGTGTTTTCATACAGAAGATTGAATGAAATATTTTAATAGAATTCCTGCGCATGTTTTTTTGGTCCCCAAAAGGCAACCTTTTAAACGTATTTCTTAGCCATTAATTTCTAATGTGCAATCTGAAAAACCAATTCGGAGAACCTCCTAACAAGTTGCCTCAATGGGGTTTTTGCATTTACGGTTTAGGAAGAAGGGTTTAGGGTTAGGGGTTTTTGAGTTTAGGGTTTACGGTACATTGTGCATAAAATTTAAGCTGCACGTTAAATCAAGTTGTCCCTGGAGTTTTCTTTCATTTTATGGAAACAAAAACAAATTTCGCTTTTTCAAGGGCATCGCAAATAAAAATTTTATGCATGTTCCCACTACATTTCTATTTGTGTACAATTAAAAGCCAAAATGGTAAGCCACATTCTTGGCCCTCACTTTTTAATTCTCTATCTATTCAACCCAGAGTTGCAAAAACCCGATCAGCCGGGCAAACTAGCTACCAGTTTGGATCGGCAAACGAATAGTCAGGATGCATAATAGAAATTTTTATGATAAATAATTGGAGCCAACAAAATTAAATAATATTTTTAAAATCTAAAAAAGAATAAAAAATTATAGTGTTGGAACCAGGCAAACTAGCCGATCAGGTTCGCTTGATTACCTAATAGAAACACCTATCTAATAGAACTGCATGAGTATGTCTAAATCCGACAAGATTGTGGGTTTCTATTGGGAACTGGGTCAATCCCCATCAATTCCCAATTCGGATGAATAGATTGGAGAATTTTGAAACATTGGTTCAATCAATTAAGGGGGCTATTTCGTAATGTTTAAAAAATTGGAGATCGAGAATTGACCATGATTGATTGGTAACTTGTTGCTCGATTCCGTTAGGGAACCAGGTGACTTTATCAGGGAAACTCTGCATTCCGGAATGGCCAAATCACTCTATTCCCACATATTTTATTTTTTATTTTATTTTCAAAATTTTTATTATTATTTAGACCGATCCACTAGAGAATCAATCCAATTTGCCGATATGGATGGGTGATTTGCCAATCCAGTCTAGAATTCCAGATGGCTAATTCACCTGGACAAAAAATCTATGTTTTAAAACACTGATTTAACCAATTAAGCAGACTTGAAAACGTATCAGTGTAGCCCAAACATGGTGGGTTTGCAATTTGCATAAAAACTAGAAATGCAGCGTATACGTAAAACATTGAAAGTATATGAAAAAAATCACCATGAATAATAAAAGAGCACGAATAACATCTACAGGATGCAAAAAACAACAAAATCTGAATACCTACACAAATCATTAAGGAAAAAATTTCAACTCAGTTCACTAACTACTCAAATTAATAATGAAAATAAAATCATAAACATCCCTACATAATATAGATATCATTAAAAAAAGTAGTAATGTAGTCGATTGACTAACCAAATCATCCTTCGAGCCGTATCCCAACTATTACTACTGACTAAACAAATCTTGAAGAGAAAATAGCAACTCAGTTCACTAACTAAACAGATTACTCAGAGTGAAAGTGAAGGCAACAAATATCATCATCCAGAGGCAGTATTTCATACGTAAGATCTCAAAAGAGAAAAAAACAGTAACTGAATTGAGTAACTATGCAAATTATTAAGAGTGATAATAATGCAAAAACAGCACTCACATATAGACGAAAACCAGTGACGCTCAGAGACTCTAATTTGGTGAGACCATTGATAATCTGTCTCAGTGGCCAAACCCCATTTCCATCATCATCCCAATTAATGAAAAGATCCTTGATGTTCAAACTCCCACTTAAATCAAGTTCAGAAAAAACACCAAACAGATGGAAATTAAGGAGGCTCGCGCCGATGATTTTGATATTACGCAGTCCCTCACAATCAATCAGGGTCAGATCTTCCAATTTCTCACTCATGGAAACTATGGTCTGCAGTATAGTATCAGTAAGAGCCACAGTTTTCAGAGAGAGAAATTTGAGAAACTTAAATCCTTTGAAATCTGTGGGCATCTCGAGCTTGCATGAAGTTAAGTCTACAGATACCAAAGACGAGCAAGAAAAGAAGCTAGGGTGAACTGTGTATGGCAAATATTGGTCATAAAAGTCGATAACCAAATCTTCGATCCCTCGACTGGATACGATGGAGAGCCACTGATCGATATCTTCGCTGCTGCACCAAATTATTCTATCCAGCCTAAACGCTGAAATGGGTCCGTGATGGCGAGAGAGGACTGAATCGACTATATTGGCCCAGTGGCATGAGTATGAGTATACCGTATCTGGTACGAAGTTTAGCGCTGGAATGGACGTCCAAGAAGACCTCCACCTGCGAGAGAGGACCGAGGTCCTAGCAGCTTCTCTGATCGTTAGCATTGAGAGAATCATGAGAATTATCTCTGTTGGGAGTTCGCTTATCCTATCTTCCGCGATAGCCATTTGCAAAGAGTAAGCAGAGCCTCCTCTCACTCTGTATCTGTGTATCAAGGACGGCCTCTGTTATGGAGCTTAAGAGATTAAGGCCGCAAATGGATGACCCCTTCTCTCTTCTCTCTTTAGGGTTTGCTGAAATTGTGCAATCTCTCCCTCTCTGTAACAATATAAATAGAGATAGGAGGAGGAGGAGAGGCATTGTGCATTGAATGTTTCTGGCATTGTGAAGAGAGGGAAATGTACAAAAATAGGAAAGAAGATAGAGAGAGGATATGAATGGAGCCTGTGCGCGTGCTCCAGGCATTACCTCCCATGGCGGAGGGACTTTGCCTCCTTTAGAAAATATATTCATTGTAGAGAGAGAGAGAAAGAGAGATGATCCCCATAGACGTGAGTAGAAGATAGAGCGGGAAAGTTTGTAACGACCATTTTTGATGGATGGAGAGATTTTTATGGGATTTGAATAACAAAAGCAAAAATAAGAAAAAAAAAAGGGATAAAAAAAGGATTTGAATTACAAATACGCGCATCCATATTGAGGCACTTATTCATTGAGAGATATTTAAGCTAAATAACTATTTATTTAAAATTTGAACCCTGCATACCATGATTTCATAGTCATTGTAATAATGACACTTGGGGTGGCAATGCACCCGGAACTGACTCGGGACCCTGAGTCTACCTAACGGGTCTGGGTCCGAAACTTGGACCCTACCTGTATGTGACCTGTACCTGTAAACGGTTGAGATAAAATACTTTCTATTCATTTGGGTGTATTACGGATATTATACATTAAGACCTCATATTCATCTTTAGCTATTAAACGACAAATTAGATGGCTTGAAATCTTAGAACGGGTGATTGTGACATTGTTGTCAATAATATGGGTATATATTGGTAGAAAAAAGATAAAAAAAAAAAAAAAAAAAATGAAGCTGGGTGGCAATAGACCGACCAAACTCAAGAACCGATGAGTACAAGTATGAGTCCAACTTGTGGACCTGACAGGTTGGATCCAAGTCCAAATCTAGACCCTGACACCCCTCTCTTGTACGTTATGTTACATAGAGGCAACTATAAGGACCTAAAAATGTTTCATACACTTCTAAAAGGTTGCTAATGTTGATAAAACGGAAACTCTCGTTAATATATTTTTCTTTTGGGTGAGGTTTGTATTAGGTGTATCGGTCTCATATGCATTTCTAATGCTGAAAATCTTACCATGGCTTGAAAATTTCATGTTTAAATCTAATTATGAAGTTTAAAATTTTAAAAATAAGGCATATTGAGCAAATCTATAAAGATTTGACAATAGTGAAAAATAGATGTACAAGATGTACTATTTTTAGGTCTTGAAATTTTTTTTCTCTATATGCACAAATTTTCATTAAGACAATATATCCACATAGGATTAGTGTAGCAGAGATGATGATGTTGAGATGAATGAGTGGAAAGATAAATAAGAATAGAATTTGAAATGAATACATACTAGAGAACTTAGATGTGGCTCCAATAGGCGTTAAGATGAAGAAAAGTAAACTTAGTGGGCTGGCCATGTGCTACATAGACCTAATATAATATCGATTACGAGAAACAAATTGGTTCAAGTGGAATACTCTAAAAAAACTAAAAAAGACCCAAAAGACATCAATAGAAGTAGTGAGAAGAGATATAATGCCTTATAGTCTAATTGAAAGTATAACTCTTGATAGAGCAGAATGGGAGAATACGATTCATGTAGCTGACCCAAATAATAGTGATAAGGCTCGGTTAATGATGACATCCATAAATCTCAAAGTCAAGACGGTTTTACAACTTTGGAACACTTTTTTTTTACATGATTTTTGAGGTGCACCTTCTATAGTTTCAAGTTGCTACCTTCAATAACTTTTTTTCTTCTCTTCTTTGCCGTAATTAAAATATATCACATGCATTTTGAAATTTATGTTAATGTAATTTTTTATAAAATTTTCAATTTTTTCCATTGTGCCTCGAGTTCTAAATTGGGTTTTTTCTTGTTTCTTTTTCCTAGTTTTTGTATCGAAACATCAAGTTCCAACCCAAAATCTTTGTCAAAACCCGCATTGGAGCATCGAATCTCTATCCGGGCTTAAAAATTTGCAAGTTTTTAGGAATTATTGCATCAAATTTTCACTTGGTTTTTAACACTACTTTTTTGTTTAAAAACCTGACCGGGACATGAAGTTCCAATCTGGTTCTCATCTAAAATCATATTAGATTTTTTTTTTTTGTAGTGATATTATATTTGTAATTTTATATAATAGAAAGTTGTCGATGTTTTAGATGGTTAGTAGGTATTGTTAGATGGTTGCATAATAAAAAGTCTGTAAAAAATACAAGCAATATATTCCCCAAAAACTAAGATTTCAGAATAATTGTATATCTCACAATAATAGGTAGAGTTAGAAGAAGAGTAACCCAATGAAAGGCCTTCTTTTTCTTAGAACCTGAAATGTCCTTGTAAAGAAATATGAGAGATTGAATGATATTAAAGATTTAGGCAGCTCGGAATTCAATATGATTTGAATTTGCTTAAGCATTTTGTTGCTTTCTTTATGCATAGATAAATTTGATTGATTTCATTTTTTAGTTTTATTTTTTGTTGTATTTGTGTAGATTGAATGGACCACTATTTTACATATTTGGATGTTTTTGTTTTATTTTAGTTAACCACTATACCATACTCAGGGTCTTTTTATTTTTATTTTATGAACAATAATCCTATACCTTGGTTACAGTTTTTGATATTTACTAGTGTAGTTCTTGTTTTTAGTATGGACCCACTTTCTATGAGGCCAAGCCCACATATGTAGAAATGGGGATCTATTAATAAATCTATTTTTGAGATGGATTTTTTTACTTAGTTTTTAAAGATATGTTATCTCTAACATGGAGAAGATGAACAAGAAAAAATAAGTAAATTTTAAAAACTAGAAATAATAATTCTAGTAAGAAAACATTTGGACCGTTAGTTTCCATTGTTTATGGATAGAACACCTACTTGCATCCATCTTTAAGATGGTTGCTTCACACTTTTTGGACCGCATATGTAGTCATGTGGTCGAGCCCCCCATGAGACAATTTTCCTTTTAGTATTATCATTTTTTTTGTTTCATTTTATGCCCCCAATAAATTTGTTACATATTTTGTGTTGTGACAATAAAGTAAGTTGTTGGATTTATTAAGAGTTTCGACAAAAAATTCTCCATTATTACTCTAATAGCATTAGGCAAGGCCATAAAATTATTGTTCAATGGATTTCATGTATCTATACAATAACAACAAATCATAATTCTATGTTATGTCATGGTTACGTATCCGATTTTTGCACCTTATTTTTGTGCCAAGTCCAAAATATTCACGATTATATAACTTACCTTAGTTTTAGGCGATCTGTATTTTTTCCCCGTTTTTTTCTTTTGTCTTTTTAAATTTAAACTGATTTATTACCGATGTTTTGGTTTGCCGATATATCATTTCTCGACTTGCTAACTATGCTTACACTAGGGGCCACTCAGCCCACACAACTAGAGCATTGTGAATGCTCTCTCTACCATATTATTAACAGATTCTATAAATGGCAAATAAGGGTGGCAATGGGGCGGGGTGGCCAGCCCTAGGCCTGGGCCACAAAAAGTGGTGCGAAGGCAGGCCCGGATAGCAAGGCCAAGCCTTTCTGAGCTTGGGCCGGCCATACGAGGGCTAGGGCCAGGCTAGGGTTGACACCAGGCCAAATCCATTGGCACCCCTTAGGGCTAAGGGCCCGGGACTTGGCCATCGACGGGTGCCACAGCCCCTATCCATATCCACTCACTCTTTTCCTATTTTTGAACCTTTAAGCTTATCACAATGGCATACAGATTCAATGCACCATGCCTCCTGTTTCTAATTTTGTACCTTTCCAATTCATCAAAATAACTGAAAGATTGACTGCACCCTGGTTCTCCTCCTATTTATAATTGCTATTGTTACAAGCCATACCTAGAGAGAGATTAAGGGAGAGAAGGGGATGTCGATTTCTTGCATCAACCGCCTGCCCTTGCCCACAGCAGAAGAAATTCTCTCTCTGTTAAACGTTCGAGAAGTACCGGGACTTCGACATCCATAGGAAATGGAGGTATGCTTGAATTTCCGAGTCTGATTTCATATGAGAGACAGGACTCTGTCAATCGTATGAGGCCAATTACATGGGTTTAGGTATTGTGTATCAGCACAAATATTTGATATTGGAGTGGAATTCTAAGCATACCTGTATTTCCCGAGAGAATCGAGGTCTTCGCTACTTCTCTAATGGTTAAAAGAGACAATTATGTACTCCTTTTGGAGATCACTGATCCTGCTTCTCGACTTGGACCTAGTAATTGTTGGTGTGTGCCCTCATGTGTGGCCATGAGGCCTCATGTTACATCACCTATTTTTATGGAAGGTATTTATCATCCGTTAAAAATAAATGTTCATCTTAGCTCAGTGAAACATAAAGGGTAAAGTCAATATTTTATTATATCCTTTTTTCTTCATCATTTTTTAATGCATTTTCAACCAAATACTGGCGCATTGTAAATGCTGTTTCTCAAGTTCAAATGGTTATTGAATGCTTTTACAGTGCAAGAAAGAAAAAGGTTACCTCAAAAGTTTACAGTTGTTTCTTTTTTAAAGAGGGAATTTATTTATTTATTTTTTTGGACACAGTTTTTGTGAGTCCGTGTAGAAATGAGTCGCTTCTTAAAAATCTATTTTTGAGAGGGATTTTTGGACTTAATTTTTAAAGACATGTAATCTCTAACATGGAGATCATGAATATGAAAAAAAAATTAAAATTTGAAAATTAAAAATAATAATTCTATTAAAAAAACATTAAGATTGTTAGTTTCAATTGTTTTTTGATGGACCACCTATTTGCGTCCATCTTTAAGAATGATGCTTTATACATTGGGATCACATACTTTATACATTGGGACCAATTATTGTAGAAATACGATCCAGCCTGCATGAAACGATTTTCCTTTTTTGTTTACGCGTTCATTATTTTTACTCCCGCAAGAAGGATCACATGGGATCACATCTATAAACTTTTTTACTCCCGCAAGCAGGATCCCATGGGTTCACATCTCTAAACTTTTCCCATGCAGAAAATATTTTTACGAAACTTTTTTACGAAACTTTTTTACTCCCGCAAGAAGGATCACTTGGGTTCACATCTCTAAACTTTTCCCGTTCGTGTGCAGAAAATATTTTTTACGTGAAAATTACGTTTCATATACATTGTATTTTATTTTATTTGGATGAGTTAACGGGGAGAGGGCCTCAACCCTTTGGTAGAAATTGAGCCTAAGACGTAGCATTGTAAATTGTCAAGCGCTAATTAATTAAACTTGGGTTCTTTTCTTATGTTTTATACATTTGTTTGGTACGTTATACATATGAAAATAAATTCCAAAGTAAAATTTTTTATCATGAAACGGTCTAATTCATGGTAAAACAAAATATCATTTCTTGAAATGGGGAAACATTCCCCATGCTTTGATTTTCATACGTGGACCCACTATTCACTATTCACCATTTACAATATAATATATATTATATGATGTTTTATTCTATATTAGATAGTATATTTAATATAAATATTATGTTTCT